CTATCATATTGGTGGTAGTATTTCAAGACTTATTGAACTGCCTGGATTAAACTTAGTTCAATCATTTAGTCTTGATTATATGCACTTAGTTTTAATTGGAGTTACCCGTAAACTTGTATTGTTATGGTTGAACAAGGGACCATTGCATGTACGTCTACCTAGTCGATCTGCACATAAATTAACAGCTTCATTACTAGCTTTAAAAAAATATATTCCTTCAGATTTTTCAAGGAAACCCAGGGAAATTCAGGGCATAGGTAGGTGGAAAGCGACTGAGTTAAGATTATTTTTACTGTATATTGGACCCATTGTACTTGAAGGTGTTATTAATAAGGATTGTTACGATCATTTCATGATTCTACATGTTGCCATGATCATACTTTTGAGTCCAACCCGCCAATGTTATTTAGACTATGCTGAACAAATGCTAGATTACTTTGTTGAGAAATTTGAAAATCTTTATGGCCATCATCATGTATCTCATAACGTTCATGGGATTTTGCACTTATGTGATGATTATCAACATTTTGGCCCCCTTGACAACTGTAGCGCCTTTGTGTTTGAAAATTATATGAAAAACTTAAAATCCAAAGTCCGCAAAAATGAGAAACCACTAGAACAGCTAATAAACAGATATTCTGAAATATATATTCAACATCCACATAATACTAAGTGATACAAATACATGTGTGATATTATCAAAACCTCATAGAAATGTTCCATTAATTGGCAGTAACAATACGATGATTCAGTACAAAAAATGTACCATTAATAATATAAATATCAGCATAAATACATCTCAAGATAACTATATTATATTGATTGAAAGTGGAGATGTTGTTAAATGTAGTACTTATTGGGAAATTGTTTAAAAAAAAACAACAATTTTATAATAAACCGGTCGATTCATCATTATTTGATATATATATTGTAGATCAACTCAGTGAAGAGTTAAATGAATGGAATATAAATAATGTAAAAAAAAAAGTTATGGTAGTTACACATAATTCTAAATCAATTGCATTGCCATTAATAAGTTCTTAAAATTACTTATTTTAATACCTATAATTGTAAATAAGATTGAACTTAATATTTAAATAATTTTGTTAGATAAATGTAGTTATAGTTTTTTTTAAAGTTTAAAATAGATAATTTAACTAAATCAAAATGTTAAATTTGTTTCTAAATTTTATAATTAAAAAGGAAAATTATTGAGGATATTTTATAATTAACTTTATTATTATGTTTTACCGTACCTATTCAGTATTTACTGCTATACAATAACTGAATAATGAGTGAATTGAATAATATTATAACTCTATAAATTACATTTTGTAGCTAATCATAATTAATATGATTTTTAATTTATATTCTTGTAGCAAGAAACTTGAAAATATTATGAAAAAATGTGGAGTATTGTTCATTTTGTAAAAGATAATACTATAGAAGTAATTCCTGATTTTTGGATTAAAAAAAAGGATAAGAGTTGTGCTTGGCCTGTAAATAAAAAAATTGCAAGAAGATTAATTGAAAAAAGAAGTAATCCTAATGATATAGAATTTAAATAGTTTCCATCAAGAATTGTTGGGAAATTTAGTAAGTATTAATAATTTTATTCCTACTGAGTTTTATCTTGTCTAATTTAAATGTATTTAAATAGAAAGCTATAGTGAAGCAACTAAAAAGGCTGATGAACTAATGACAAAAACAGATATATCGTCTTGTGATGATGAAAGAAATAAGTCTATTTTAAAAAAAATGAGAAGTCCTCCAAAGTTATTAACAAAAGGTAAAGTATTCATAATTTTATATACATTTTTTAATTTATAACACTATTACATTTATATTGATACTTTGAATGCTAACAGATATACAGAAAACACATAATAATAAATTGAATAGTTTACTTAATGCAAATTTTAACCATGAACTAATTGATGAAAATTCATATGATTCTGATAAAGACCCCGAATACATCCAACCGTTGCTTTTGAAAAGTATAAATAGTTAATAAATTATTCAATTATCTACAACTATATAATATAATATTGCATACCCATATTATACATGTGTAATCGTACTTATTGTTACTTTCAGAAAACGCTTTGTCTACTGGTATATCAACTATAACAAAATATAATAGTCCTGCAAAGAATTCTCCAACTAAAGAAATAATTGTAGATAAAAATCAGGACTTTTCTCAGCCACTTGCTGCAGTAATATCTCAATCAAATCAAAAAAACAATACACCTAAGTTTTTTTCTGTAAAAAGGGCCTTATTTGAAACTCATGAGACATTTAATCATGGTAAATATAATAACAAGCTTGTTATAAATATAGACGGTAAATATGAATAATAATTATTAATTCATTAATTGAATTAAATGCATTAATTCAAAGACAAACGCTACACATATTCTTTTAAATTCATATGTAACCAGTTCTGGGAATTCAATTATTCAAGGACAACTGAATAATAACCAAATATCCCAAACTTCAGACTATTACAATTTATTACCCATTCAAACTAAGAAGATCTTCAGATTGCAGAAAATAGAATTACTGATAAGATTATAAGATCTAATTTGGTATGTGTTACTTAAATATATGTTATATAATTTAGTTAATTGTGAACATTACAATTTTTAGTAACGTTATATCTAAATTATATTTATTATTGTTATCGCAGGTACTTCAACTGTCTTTTGTAACGGGACAAAACGGGTGGCCTATACGAATAGCTCGCGCTCTCTAGTAGTGGCCGGATACGCCAACAACAATACCGTAGTACCTACCAGCCATAGTAGGTACATTTTGTTTTCAAGTTACAACATTCCAAAATGAATCGTTGTACACAAACGTCACAAACACCCGCCACGATGCCCCAAACGTGAGAAAAACAAGCTAACAGCACCTATTAGTAACCGACAATCTGCCTGTTATCTACAGTTCACGAACCACAGATATACCGGTCGTATACACGCCGCCGGCACACAGTTCGACCGATTCACCGACCGTCGATTATTCGCTTTATTAACAGTTTAACTTAATCGTCGCTGCCTAGAGGGATCCCGCCGCGGAGTCCTCGCACTTGTTATCATATTCTCTCCTTATCCGGCAGCGTGAGTAGTGGTACGGTTCGCCCGTACTGTTCAGGCTACTCACTCACGGTATAGGAGAGGAAAAAACTCTCTCAACATCCCGCTACCTTGGACTCTACAGTGATACAGCTCGCCCCTGTATTGGTCAAGCTGTATGTCTCCAGGTAGTTGCGGATAACACTCGCCACAATATGCCGCCGATATTTCCGATCGCCGGTAGGCATAATAATCTGTCGTCCGATACGCAGGGATAAGCGCGTGCGTCGCTACGGACCGATACCCGTAATTTAATATTTATTACCGTTGAGTGCGTTGTAACCGTCACGGGATAAATCATATAATAACCGCCGCTATGTTGACCCCCGCGGATAATTGTTTTTTTTTCTGAGCGTCGTTAAAATCAATTGAACACATACTTCCGCCAGATATCTTGTGGGAGATACAAGGTTGTTGTTGAGGATCATCGGAGGTACAAAAAAACTAACGATTCAGCATCGAGGACGAGTTTTCGACACCGCCCGATTGCAGTCTACGTATATTTGCTGCCGACATACTTCGTGAGCTGACAAACAGACCGAACGTCTTTGTTGCAGTAAAAACCTACCGTCAATACTCCAATCATCTGCATACACAGATATTACCGTGAGTCTTGTCTTTTTGATTTCTTTTAAAACGTATTAAAAACTATTATTTGTAGCTCAAAGAGCAGTTATTTTAATAAAAAGAATATATTGTATTAAAAAAAACATTATATACATTCAACCTATTATCGCTGTGGCTTGAATAGCATAAATCTTATATCAAAAGAAAATATTGTATACGAATACTATAAATTATTATAAATTTGTGTAATAATAAAAACACACCGTATATTACATAAAAACAAATACCTGTGTTTTTCATCGTTACACTTTGTTAGTTGGCATTAAAGATGTTGGAGATAGCGTTCGAAGATTAATGATAAAGATGTTTTCCGATGAAGTCCTTACTTTGTACTCCTTATTGGGATTCAAAAAGAAGAAGAATTTTTCCAAACGCGAATGCTATAATTTATTGATAGGTAAGTTATTAGTATTATACTATTGTACTATTAAAATAATATCTTTATAAACTCTTGAGTGTGAATGAACACTTATTTATGTATATCAGTTGTATAATATAGTTGAACTACTGCTTTCAATCAAAATTATATTTAGAATTTTAATCATTTTCAGATGCATTACGTGTTCATCCAAAATTTAAAAATGTTATCAACAAAGAATTTGATAGACCTCTCGCCACATGGATAGCACATGCATCTTTCAGATTAAATAAATCAAATAAAGTTTAAGCTTTTATAATAACTGTATTTAAAAAATATTTTAATACGTTAAACAGCTTAAGTCCTAGCTCAAAATTTCTTTTTTTATAATATATTATTATATTATATCGTTTATAATTATTTGCAATTTTATATTCTTGATACATTTTTTTTGTTTTATTCATTTTTACATAAGATCACATAGATTGTTTTTTTTTTAAATGCTTTATAATAAATATTAGTTTTATAAATATACAGGGTGATATTTTTATCACGTTTTTCTCACGTTTGGGGCATCGTGGCGGGTGTTTGTGACGTTTGTGTACAACGATTCATTTTGGAATGTTGTAACTTGAAAACAAAATGTACCTACTATGGCTGGTAGGTACTACGGTATTCTTGTTGGCGTATCCGGCCACTACTAGAGAGCGCGAGCTATTCGTATAGGCCACCCGTTTTGTCCCGTTACAAAAGACAGTTGAAGTACCTGCGATAACAATAATAAATATAATTTAGATATAACGTTACTAAAAAATGTAATGTTCACAATTAACTAAATTATATAACATATATTTAAGTAACACATACCAAATTAGATCTTATAATCTTATCAGTAATTCTATTTTCTGCAATCTGAAGATCTTCTTAGTTTGAATGGGTAATAAATTGTAATAGTCTGAAGTTTTGGATATTTGGTTATTATTCAGTTGTCCTTGAATAATTGAATTCCCAGAACTGGTTACATATGAATTTAAAAGAATATGTGTAGCGTTTGTCTTTGAATTAATGCCAGATATGTCATACTTCATTTTTGTTAGTAAATTTATTACGAATGTTTGGAAATCTAAAAAAAATAATGATTGTAATCATAAAATAACCGTTCTATTTAAAAATTGTAAAAATAAAAATACCACAATTCAACATCAATTTGTCTGTAGAAGTTTTTGCAGAAGAAAACCTAGGTGTATTCCTGTTTTTATTATTTGATTGTGACATTGAATGTAGTTGAGAAAAGTTCTTGTCATTATCCTTCACAACTATTTTTCCAATGGGAGAGTTCAATATGGAATATATTTTTTCTGAAGACTCGGTGTTGTCTAAAAGCATGAATAATTTACAATTAGTTACTAAAACACAACTATATACATTTTTAAATTGACCATTAATTATCAAATTAAAATAGTTTACATAAAATACAATTATTACATCTACCAACTACCATCACATCTATATTTACAATAACCTTCTTATAATATTTACCTTGGTTAAATATCTCATCAGTTTCAATTGTATCAAATATGGTGGTCCTTTTTGCAGAAGAAAACTCACTTTTATTGTTTCTATCATTTGATTGTGATCTTGAATGTGAATAAGAAAAACTCTGGTCATTATTTTCCACGACTATTTTTCCAATAGGATAATTCAAAATGGTATGTCTTGAATATGGAGATTCAGCGTTTTCTAAAAGAATGAATAATTTACAATTAATTATTAAATCACAAATAAATATGGTACACACAATACATTTTACAATTTACCATAAATTCTAGATATTTTACAATCAATATATTTATAATAATACATCTATCTACTAAAGTAACTAATAATAAACTGCTTATTAAATTAACCTTGGTTAAAATCATCAGTTTCGGATAAAGCTTTTTCCAAAGAAAACTTAGAGTTATCATTTTTATTATGATATGATTGGGATAAAGGCTGAGAAAAGTCTTGATCAATATCTTTTGTAGTTTTTTTCCTAATTGGAGACTTCATTTTGGAATAATGTCTTTTGTTTGAAGACTCATCATTTCCTAAAAGCGTGAATATTTAAAATTGTAACTACCTACTAAATATAAATATTTTATGCACAATACACAATTATTCATATTTACCGTCTATATTTATAACAAGCTTGTTATTATATTTACCATGATTAAATGTCTCATGAGTTTCAAATAAGGCCCTTTTTACAGAAAAAAACTTAGGTGTATTGTTTTTTTGATTTGATTGAGATATTACTGCAGCAAGTGGCTGAGAAAAGTCCTGATTTTTATCTACAATTATTTCTTTAGTTGGAGAATTCTTTGCAGGACTATTATATTTTGTTATAGTTGATATACCAGTAGACAAAGCGTTTTCTGAAAGTAACAATAAGTACGATTACACATGTATAATATGGGTATGCAATATTATATTATATAGTTGTAGATAATTGAATAATTTATTAACTATTTATACTTTTCAAAAGCAACGGTTGGATGTATTCGGGGTCTTTATCAGAATCATATGAATTTTCATCAATTAGTTCATGGTTAAAATTTGCATTAAGTAAACTATTCAATTTATTATTATGTGTTTTCTGTATATCTGTTAGCATTCAAAGTATCAATATAAATGTAATTTATAGTGTTATAAATTAAAAAATGTATATAAAATTATGAATACTTTACCTTTTGTTAATAACTTTGGAGGACTTCTCATTTTTTTTAAAATAGACTTATTTCTTTCATCATCACAAGACGATATATCTGTTTTTGTCATTAGTTCATCAGCCTTTTTAGTTGCTTCACTATAGCTTTCTATTTAAATACATTTAAATTAGACAAGATAAAACTCAGTAGGAATAAAATTATTAATACTTACTAAATTGCCCAACAATTCTTGATGGAAACTATTTAAATTCTATATCATTAGGATTACTTCTTTTTTCAATTAATCTTCTTGCAATTTTTTTATTTACAGGCCAAGCACAACTCTTATCCTTTTTTTTAATCCAAAAATCAGGAATTACTTCTATAGTATTATCTTTTACAAAATGAACAATACTCCACATTTTTTCATAATATTTTCAAGTTTCTTGCTACAAGAATATAAATTAAAAATCATATTAATTATGATTAGCTACAAAATGTAATTTATAGAGTTATAATATTATTCAATTCACTCATTATTCAGTTATTGTATAGCAGTAAATACTGAATAGGTACGGTAAAACATAATAATAAAGTTAATTATAAAATATCCTCAATAATTTTCCTTTTTAATTATAAAATTTAGAAACAAATTTAACATTTTGATTTAGTTAAATTATCTATTTTAAACTTTAAAAAAAACTATAACTACATTTATCTAACAAAATTATTTAAATATTAAGTTCAATCTTATTTACAATTATAGGTATTAAAATAAGTAATTTTAAGAACTTATTAATGGCAATGCAATTGATTTAGAATTATGTGTAACTACCATAACTTTTTTTTTACATTATTTATATTCCATTCATTTAACTCTTCACTGAGTTGATCTACAATATATATATCAAATAATGATGAATCGACCGGTTTATTATAAAATTGTTGTTTTTTTTTAAACAATTTCCCAATAAGTACTACATTTAACAACATCTCCACTTTCAATCAATATAATATAGTTATCTTGAGATGTATTTATGCTGATATTTATATTATTAATGGTACATTTTTTGTACTGAATCATCGTATTGTTACTGCCAATTAATGGAACATTTCTATGAGGTTTTGATAATATCACACATGTATTTGTATCACTTAGTATTATGTGGATGTTGAATATATATTTCAGAATATCTGTTTATTAGCTGTTCTAGTGGTTTCTCATTTTTGCGGACTTTGGATTTTAAGTTTTTCATATAATTTTCAAACACAAAGGCGCTACAGTTGTCAAGGGGGCCAAAATGTTGATAATCATCACATAAGTGCAAAATCCCATGAACGTTATGAGATACATGATGATGGCCATAAAGATTTTCAAATTTCTCAACAAAGTAATCTAGCATTTGTTCAGCATAGTCTAAATAACATTGGCGGGTTGGACTCAAAAGTATGATCATGGCAACATGTAGAATCATGAAATGATCGTAACAATCCTTATTAATAACACCTTCAAGTACAATGGGTCCAATATACAGTAAAAATAATCTTAACTCAGTCGCTTTCCACCTACCTATGCCCTGAATTTCCCTGGGTTTCCTTGAAAAATCTGAAGGAATATATTTTTTTAAAGCTAGTAATGAAGCTGTTAATTTATGTGCAGATCGACTAGGTAGACGTACATGCAATGGTCCCTTGTTCAACCATAACAATACAAGTTTACGGGTAACTCCAATTAAAACTAAGTGCATATAATCAAGACTAAATGATTGAACTAAGTTTAATCCAGGCAGTTCAATAAGTCTTGAAATACTACCACCAATATGATAGTCTTCATACATCATTTGTGCATATGATTCATGAGTTCTTTTAGGACATTTGTTTCTAGAATATGGAAAACATACCCTGTTTTGAAAATATTCCCCTTCTATAGTACATCGATTATATGATGAAAAGCCCGAATGTCCTTTCGTTTTCAGCAGAAATGACTTTGCAGGGGAATCGCACACAAAACCTTTGATAAATACTTTTCTATTTACACCATTTATTATAATCCCATTACTTAATAAATCTTTAGCTTTAACAATAAAATCTGATAAAAACTCATCACTATCTTTGGGTTTAGTGAAACCATGATAAATGCCCACTGGAAAAACAATTTTACTGGTACCAACAATGTAAGCCAATATGGGCCAAAATTGACTATTAGTGTTTTTTGTTAAAGGCAAAAGGTGCATGTCGTGTGTGTCTGTTCTGAATAAATATATAATTGTACAATTAATAAGAAGTACCTAATAGAAGTTCTATGCGTGTTTGTCATTTTTAAAATTTTTTATTTTTTTATTATGAACTAACCTTACTACATCACTCAAGGAACATTTTTTATTTGCACACCTAAAATGTGTAACACAGGATTTTAAAGTTCGAAATTTTCTAAATTTATAACTATCTATATTTATACACTTTTTACCTCGACGCGTTTCAAAAATATCACAAATTTCGATATCCATAGTCACTAGTCAGTATAGGTAGTACCGCTTTCTGGCGAACGACTGCTTAAAAATATTATGTTTAATACACGTCGATTATTTTCAATGATGACAGGGGCGTATTTATGGGGGTGGCTGGGTGGGCTGCAGCCCCCCCTGAAATTTCAAGAAAATCCAAAAAATATGAATGTCAATAAAACTTTATTTGTTGGGTAAAAAAGCTTGAAAATTTAATACAAGGCTCCTGCTATATTGTTACAATAGCAGTTGAAAAATATTAAAAACCCTTAGTCATAGTTTTTTTATAAGCATTTAAAGTTCGAATCTTGACAAAATACGGAAAAATCACAAAACTTAAAATTTTGCTGAATGTTTTCATTTTTTATACACCAAAAAAATTTGAAAATATTTTGCCTCTTTTTGAGCTATTTACGGACATTGACAGTTTTCATTTTTCTTAGTTTTTTTTCTATGAAAATCAATAAAATTTTTTTTGTTGGGTAAAAAGCGTGAAAATTTAACGCAAGGCTCCGGATATATTGTAGCAATATTAGTTGAAAAATATTAAAAATACATAGGCACAATTTTTTCTTATAATCATTTAAAGTTCGAATTTTGACAAAATTTATCAAATTTAAAATATAATAAATATTTTGTAATTAAAAATTTATAAAATGTTCAACTTTCATAGTTAAGGATTAAAAATTTAAAACAATGGTCCACGTAAATAGGTAAATATATAAATTACTTTATTCACAATAATATCATCAAATATACTTAGTAATATCATAGGCTGACTGACCGTTTTCGCTTAGAATTGTTTTTCTTATACAATGATATTATATCATTGAATTCAAATTTTACACCATCCATTACAGTGACCCACTTGTTACCTACTGTACAGCAGAGCGACATCCACTTACGCACTTTTTGTTTATTGTGTGACTATGTTGATAATTTTGTTCAGCCCCTCCCGAAATAAAATTCTGGATACGCGCCTGAATGATGATAATGACTAATGATATATTTAATATTGATATGCCGGTCATTTGTACTGATAATTTGTACCGATAATCAATTACTTTAGGTAAGTCTAAATTTAAAAATATAAAATTTATGTTATGCAGTGTTTATGTTGTGCGCAAACGAGTCGTCCGTTTTTAGGTTAACGACGGTATTAGTTGTGCGCAAACGAGTCATCGATATCTAGGTAAACAATTTGGATTGTGCGCAAACGAGTTGCACCGGATTCCCACATGTACCGGCGAACGGGACGTGTACCAATTCATAAAAGCTTGCGATTTAGCATGTACAGCAGTAGAAAAGGAAGACCTACCCATACTTATGAAATTTATTAATACCAAATTATTCGATCAGGCTCTGAACGTAAGACGATATCGGGATATGAGTGATTGGGAAGGTATTAAACTAATTTTGTTAGATGCATTCGAACCACAACAATCGACTTCGTCATTACAAGTGGCATTAAATTCCGTACGCATGCGAAGTAACGAAGACGTAGGTACATAGACGTGTAGAACAATTATATTTAAATGTATGTGTAGCAAGCACAAAAGGTAAAAGTACAGAACAGGCAAATACAATCCGCGATCAGTTAAAGGAACAGACATTGGTAGTTTTTATTAAAGGGTTAATACCTAGCTTAAAGACCATCGTGAAATCTCAAAAACCACCCACTTTAGAATTAGCTATCCAGGTTGCTAAGGACGAAGAGACTGAAATTAAGTCTGAGTCAGATGCATACCAATATTATGGAGGCAATAGTTAAGGTAGACAAGTAAACAACTCTAACGGGAATACCAGCAATTTTAATAGGAGAAATAATAATTTTAATAACAATAATCGTTATAATTATAATGCACCCAATAATAATAGACCGAATCATAGCAATGCAAATTCACCGAGACAAAATTACAATCCTAGAGGGAATTTTAATACAAATCCAAATTTTAATAGACCTGATATAAATCAAGGTAATAGGAACAGTTTCAACAATAATCAATACCAGCCTCACAACAATAATAATTTTAATCGCAACAATAATTATAATCGTAATAGTAATTATCGGAATAATAACAATACAATAGGTAGGTAATATACAATGTTATCAATGCGGAGGTAATCATTTTGCCCGGGATTGTGTACAGCATCGTAAAAGCAATAATTCATCTAACAATAATTTTACTAGACAGCCAACTAATTATAATGCTCCAGCAAATATAGTATGCACATATTGTAAGCAAAGTGGGCATGACGTTACTAAGTGTATTAGAAAACAGAATAACGATAGGCGTACTAATGGGTCGGGAAACTTGCCAAGATCGGACGACAGGAGTGGCGTTCGCCCGATAAATTTAATAGCCACAGTAGAGGAAGACTTAGACGATGTCTACACATCGTGTCAGTCTTAAACAACAACCATATTACTTGTCAGTCTACCAATATAAAAAAAAAGAATT